TTATAATTCTATAAGTATTTTATTAGATTTAATATAATTTTTTATATTTGAAACTATAAAAACTACAAAACTACAAAACTACACTACAGTTAATGCTCTGGATACATTAAATAAAGATACCTCTCTTAACCTAGAATTTACATATAATATTAGTAGATTTATTCGTGGGTCTCTTATTACCGCTACTAAGCTTATTTAAATAAAAAGGGATCTTAAGCGTATAAAAGTAGCTTAATAATTATTATAATAACGTAAAGCTATAAAAAATTAATTACTATAAATAAGCGGCGTGCTTTTTATAAAAGATAAGCGTAAGATAATACGCTAAAAGGCTAAGAATAACGCTATTTTAGCTTATTAAGTTATTAAGGTAACTAATAAAAAACACTATAACTTAATTAAAAAAGCGTTTTTTAAAGCCATAAAAAAAGCACGTTAATAGCGTTAAACTTTTATATTAAAATGCTTAAAAATTTATGACGAAAAGGGTGTACATTTTAGGCGAAGAGGTTAATTAAGTTATTAGGTCAGAAATTAAGCCGCGTTAGTAATCGGGCCGCGTTAGTGATAAGCACCACCTTTAGGTGGTAAGTGAAACGAGGCCCCTAAAATAGTGGGGCGTGGCACGAGTACTATTTACAGACACCGCCGAGTCGATTGAGCATGCAAGGCTCTCTTGGCTATGGATCGTCCGAGTGCCGGCCTGAGCTTGGCGTGCGATCACCTGGAACTTTTGATGCTTTGTATAGTACCCCTGATACTAAGGGGGCCCTTCTCGAATAGTGCGTATAATTCACTGCATTCATAGAGTCTATTCATACGAATAAGCATGAAGTGTTCTCATACACTCCGTCCCGTCTGGAGTATATTCTTAGGCCTCCCGAAATAAATCCTACTCAGCAGATCCATCTATTCGCCCATCCTAGTATTCGTCACTGTATAGAACCCGGGTGCGTACTCCAACAGCCACCCCTTCTCAATCTTGGTAATGTCACGAATAAATGTCTTCTCGCCCGTTTCCGTAATCTCGTGAAAGATAACCCAGTCCGCCTTTCTATTAAACAGCAACGAACTCGGGTGCGCGTGCATGACGGTCCCGCCCTCGACGTTGCGAAATGTCCCATCGGGTTGCATTCGAGCCGCGTGCGCAAAATATCCCGACGTTAGGCAGCGGCGAATCTGCTCCGCCTTGCCCTTCAGATCTGCCTCCGAGGGTCGATTGGAAGCCAGCGACTCGCTGACTTGGATGTTGAAGCGCTCTAGGTATCGTTTCAATTGTGCCCGGATGCTCACTGCGCGCGTCATGGACTTGTAGTTGAGGTGGTTTTCGTGACAGAACCGTGCTTCCTTCTTGCCCTTCGTGACGAATGCCGTGTAGGCGTTGAGAAGAGTGAGATGGTCGCCTTCCTCGGCGGCAAATTTGCGTCGTGAACTTTCCATGGCTCTTTGCTCGCCGTCGTGGTAGAACCAGACACTCGTGCCGAGGCTGGTCATTGCTGCGATGGTAAGCATTTCGCTGAGGCAGTTGAACGATTGGGCTGTTAGTAGTGTCTTGGCCATCATGGGTTCGACGCCTAGCTCGGCCATGCGGAAACCCAGTGGTCTTGTCAGCTTTGCATATTCATCTAGTGCTCCGAGGGAGTATAGCAGCTCCAGAGCCTTGGACATGAGTTCCGATGGAGGTGGTGACAAGTAGTCGAATCGGACGACGTTGTCGATCCCAAGCGCCTTGAGCTGCAAAACAATCGGTGCCAGGTTGGATCTCTGGATTTCAGGGGGGTTGGCCTCCGGTAAGCTTTGGTAGCTTTGTTCGGTGTAGAGGCGGAAACATTTCCCTGGCTTTGTCCGCCCAGCACGGCCAGCCCGTTGTGAAGCAGATGCCTTGGATGTCGGCGTTGCAGTGAGCGTCTCTATGCCGGTCTTTGGGTTGTATGCTCGCAATTTGACGAATCCGCTGTCAATTACGTAGACTATGCCGTCGATGGTGACGGAGGCTTCCGCAATATTTGTCGAGAATACAACTTTGCGCTTGCCTTCAGGCGGTTTGTCGAAGACGTACATTTGCTCCTCTGATGACAGCCCTGCGTATAGAGGCAGTGGTTGTAAATCGCCATATCGATCTCCTGTTTGGCCAATTCTTTCGGTCACGGTCTGGATCGCATTGTCAATTTCTTCGCGCCCAGTCAGGAAGACGAGGATGTCCCCATCCCCTTCCTGCGTGTGGATATCAAACACCGTTTCGATGGCCTTTTCGACGTAGTTCTCCGCTGGTGATTCCAGGTACAGCATATCAACAGGATACGTCCTGCCCTCCAGGTTCACGATTTTTGCAATCTCAGACGACTTGTCATCATTACTCGTAGAGCTTTGATCCTCGCTGGTAGCAGCAAAAAACTTGAGAAAATCCTTGGCTTGCAGAGTCGCGCTGCTGACAATGATCCTCAGATCCGGTCTTCTCCTTCGGATCTTCTTCAATAGCCCCAGTAAAACGTCCGTACTGATTGAGCGCTCGTGAGCCTCGTCAACCATTATAACAGAGTACCGACTCAGTAGAGGGTCAACCAGTGCTTCTCGAATGAGTAAACCATCGGTGAGGAACTTGATTCGTGTCGCTGACGACGTGACGTCTTCGAATCGAATAGAGTACCCAACCTCTTTGCCTACTTCACACCCAATCTCATCAGCAACACGGAGCGCGACTGTCGTTGCTGCGACCCGTCTAGGCTATTGATGCACGTGAGAATATATTCAACTAGTGGGTGAGCATGGGGATGGATCTCACCTGAGTCACACCGATGACTTTGCCATTTTCACACCATCCTGCCTTTTCCAGGAACTGAGGTATCTGTGTAGTTTTCCCGGACCCGGTTTGACCGATCACTATGGTGACTGGGTACGTTTCGATCACGTACAGTAGGCTGTCGCGATATTTGGCAATAGGCAGCAATGCTGGTGGTTTGTGCAGCGCCGGAATAAAGGTGGCATCGAGACTGAAATCTGCCATTACGACTGCAACAAGACAGAAAGCTGCCGTACCACTCTAGATATTGTGTTATCTGCCGATTCACCGCGCATATACCTTATCCATAATCGCAGAGTGTCTTAAAGAGAGAGAAACAACCGGGGCTCACTCGAGATCGCAGCAAAGAATGCTCGACGTCAATGTGTTGCTACCCTAGAGACAAAATGAAGTACTGAAGCGTTCAAGGTGGCGCCACATTTGCCTGGCTCTTACGTGTGGCGAGGCGTCATCAGGACTGTGGCTCAGTCAGTCCCCTGTGCTGTAGCCTGTGGGGAACGTCATCGGCGGCGTGGCCAGCTGCAACCCCTCGTCTCAATATTTCAAGATGAACTAGACAAAGGTTTCAGGCGACAGCACTGTGCATCTGTATCCTTATCGCCTACTTGGGACGAATCCACAACTGTTCGATTATATTTCACACATTGGTAGTTTTTTTTACATCCAGAGAAACAGTAGAGTCGAAGCTTGCGATTGCTGTCAGCCAAGGTCGTAACCATGTCGACTCCGACAGAAACGGTTTGTACCCATAGGCTATTGATGTTACACCTGATGTTGCTAACAAGCACGGGCTTCACCAGAACAAAATCACGACAGAGTCCGGCGCCGAATCACCTACGACTGCCAGACCGCTGGAGATGGACGACGACGATGTGCAAGACACCAGCGTGATCGCTGACGATGGCGCAGGCGCCAAAACCGGTACTGCTACCAGACCGGCCACTTCTGCAACACCCGCAACCACAACCTCTGGTGGCGAGCGGAAGGCACAAGACTCATCAACGGAGGCCGCTCCACCAAAGCCCCCTCGACCCGTGACTGAAGGTCAGAAGAACGAGATGATCTTGAAAGAAGCGTTCCCAACAGTAGATGGCAGCGTCATCAAAGCCGTCCTGAGAGCCAGTGGAGGCAAGGTTGAGCCAGCGTTCAATGCGCTCCTGGGTGAGCTACTACGCCCGGGTGAACCGTACTAATCGGACGACCATATGTTAACATTAATCAATCACAGAAATGACCGACCCCGATGCCGTCAAGAACGAGCCCGAAGAAGTACCACCACCCCAACCCCCTCGTCCTCAGGGTCGGGCTCAGATGTCCCAAGTTGAGGCAGATGAGCTCTACGCCCGTCAGTTAGCCGAGCACTATGACAATGTGGGTGCATACGAAGCTCGTGTCTCGAACCGTAGCCGAAACGCTGGACCACGTCAGGGCTGGGATGGCGATGAAAGAGAGCACAGCTTTATTGACGACGATTTGCCTGTGATTCGGGAGAACCTGCGCAAGGGGTTTCTGGACACGCAAACCAAGGTCAATGGCTGGATCACAGGCCTGCGAAAGAAGATTGAAGATAGTTTCGATGAGAGCGAGGAGAGCAACCAAGGACACGGCCAGCCTTTCCGTCGTCAGGGCGAGGCGAGTCGCCGAAGTGGTGATTACGATCGCTATGATGCGGATCCTCAAGTGCTCAGCGACGACTTTGCAGGAATCCGATTGTCCGCTGATGGATGTACGTCTTCCCCTGAGCAACTATCCCAAGACATAACTGTAATCTAATGTTTCATAGCCGCTGCACCAGGTAGACCACTGGTCGACTCTGGTATTCACCGACCCCCTCCGCCATCGAGCTCCCCGAGACCTGGTAATGAACGAAGGGTAGGGTTCAAGGAGGAAACTGAGGAGATCAACATGTACGATGTTTCGCCTGTAGTTCCCCCAAAGGACGCACCTCAAAGCTCAAGCACTAAGGCCAGCAAATGGCAACCTCTGTCTACTGTCGAGCCGAGCCCAATCACGGACAATGATCCGTTCAGCCTCGGTGACAGCGAAGATGAAAAGGAGCCAAGTAAGGACAAACCTAAGGATTCCAAGCCGGATGATAACGAACGTCTCAAGAAGGCTGCAGCCGAAGCTATGGCTGACAACTTGGTGGAGTCCAAGGACGGGACATCGGCAGACAAAAAGGCATAGGCTGGGAAGCCCCGATGATCCGCTCTCTGCATTGCGTTGTTTATCTGGGAGTTCAATGGAGCGTAGGCTGCGTTCAATCTTTGGTTGGATACCTTGTAATTTCTCCTGCAATCAAGCAGTGCGTACAGTCGAGCTTGTTTTGTCCCGCTGTAGCATCAGAATGCAGAAAATTTCGTTGAGCTTATTTCCGAAATATGGTCCATTATCCGGTCGCGTGAATCGTATCCATTTTGCTCGGTCCAAAGAACAGGAGTAAAATAATGCTCCGTAGCATGTGTGGAGACTGGACTTGGCCGACTCTGTGGCCTTCTGATCTACATATTATTGACTGGTGGCTGCATACGGAGTACGCAGGTAGCCAAACGCGCCAACGTTGAAGCGAACCTCTACAAGGTATGCGTTGCCGACGAGCACATATACGAAGTCATGGCCAGACAAGAGGGGTAGCAGGTAATACAATGAGGGGGAGATTTGGAACTATAACAAAGTATTGAGCTATCATTCACGGGCTTTGGGTTCCTGGCCACTGTTAAACCTTGCCAGGTGCCATGCGTGAACTGGTGTTGCAGATGGAACTCTGGAAAACAGGGGACCCAGCGAGGGCAAATTACCCCAATTTGGCTTGATGTACCGAGTACTTATTGAGCACAAAGATCTCGTGAATATTTGTTGAACTGTGTCGCAAAGGCGAAAGCATGACAAGTCGCTTGAGCACGGGGTTGATTGTGAGACGACGATTGGCCAAGAGATTGGATTGCTAGCGCGAGATCTCTCCGCATGGGAGGAGGACCAACAGGATGAATTGAGAGGTATGGATAGGCGTAGGCGATGGTAGAATATCAGCCGTTCCTCCATCTCTGACGAGAATGGTGCTATGCGGTTAAAGCGCGGTTCTTTCCTAGTTTGGAACTGTGCATGGTGTGGAGACGCACAGGACGACGACGGGCAAGCATGGCTGGTCAAGGGTACTCCATACCAGATATTGACTCGCAGGTTAAAGAGGTCCCTGTGAGTTGATGAAGCGTCGATGAAAGCGTCCCTAATAACCAGTACGGGTGAACGACATAGGCTATTTTCAAAACCCAAAGCTCGTAAAGTAGTCGAAATGCGGACCGTGGTTCACTAGTAGATGGAGCAGTTGACCGTTGGAGAGACCCAAGAGATCACGAGAGGCCGCACCACCCCGCTTCTGAGGCAAACATTGTACACACACTCCATTGCGGCCTCTTTCGACTGACAAGAAGTGCCTCTTCGCCCTCACGACATTGGTTAGGGTGGAGTTCTTTCAATTTTGAAGGAGAGTGGAAGACGAACCAAGGCCATCCACAAGCCGGACCGGTGCCAAAATCTGTTAACTTTCAATCACGCACGGTTTTGTCTTTGCAACATTGCCCCCTAGCACAGCTTTCAACATACGGCAAATTTGTGTCGCTCGGGACGTCGTTACCATTTCCCTTAGCGCGGCTACGGTCACAGGACCATTCAAGGAACAGGCATTGGGTAGGCTTGTCTGCTTAAGCGTTGTTGTACGACCTTGGCCCTCTGCAGCCGCCATCACGTTGACACTGGAAGCAAACCTTGGACCTATCTGCATGAGGGATTGGAACTGCGACAGGCCAACTACCTAGGTACTTAAGGTACCATTCATGACTCTTCCCCTTGCCTGGGTTGACTAAGAAAAAGGTGAGTAACTGGAGCGCTCATCTCTGTCCACCACGCCTTGCTTTCTTTTGCACTCGTTTCCAGCTTTCCAGTATGACTTATGAGGCTGGAACATCTTCACCCGCACCGTCAACCAAGTCTCGGATGTCACTTGCGCCACATAGGATTGAGAGAGGGATGGATGGAGATACCCAAGTTGACCCAAGCTGACCTAACCACCCTCAGGGACCCCGGTGGCTGTCAAGGACTCTAATCCATATTCTGTGACCGGCCTCACACCTGCTTGAACCATTTGGTGAAGAAGCAAGCAGCAGCAAGCAGCAGCAAGCGGTAGCAACAAGCAGCTCCAGTCTGTCTTGCACCTGCCGGCTCGCATCCAGCTCACATCTCACATTGCTGGCTCTCTGCCGGTCGAACGCATCCCCGCAACTTACCATCTCCTGTTGTCATGTCTTGAATGGGCGCGTCTGGCCTTGCAACCTACAGTGTCACTCTTTACATGACGGGTTCGATTGATTGACAGCCCTGCTCCAAACCCCAACCACACAAAATACAACGTTGCGGTATATTCGTCTACGAGTACTCCTCCGTACACGGAAGCTTCACGCAAGCTTTTAATTCTCCCCCGACTCTCAGCCCTGCTAGGCCCCGAGCAGCAACATGTAAGAGGCTTCCACATCCTTGCCACCGGCTGTGCTGGGAAAGATCCGTCTACTCCGTGGCTCAGGGTTGCTGACAATACATTTCCTCTTGTGTAGGAAGTTCGGCAAACAAATACAGAAGCGCCAGCTCGAGGTTCCAGAGTATGCGGCAAGCTTCGTCAATTACAAAGCTTTGAAAAAGGTCGGTGCCCCATGGACTGTGACTTCTCTAGCCTGTTTCCAGATGGCCAGTCGTCCGCTCTTGTCTGAAGCCACACCGGTTGGTCGGTCATGTTGCTTTGACCAATCTTCCTCCCCGACTGTCATTACCCATAGTTACACATGGTAGTAGCAACTAAGAGCTTGTCAACTAACATTGCCCTTTCCAACAGCTTATCAAGAAGCTCTCCGCCACCCCGACGTTGGCGGCGCAAAATGATATACTTCGGCAGGCTGGCTCCGTTGACTCCCAAGCCGCTCTTCAGGCAAACAAGGCCACTTTCTTCTTTCAACTGGTAAGGAGACCCGCGATACACAAGACACCGTCACACAGACCCCGCGACATCCCTAACAAGCGGGTTTCTGCATAGGAACGTGAACTCGACAAGGTGAATGCCTTCTACTTGCAAAAAGAGGCCGAGCTCAAGATTCGGTTGAAAACTCTTCTGGATAAGAAAAAGGTCCTACAGACAAGAGACGGCATCTCAAGACGCTCTTCCAAGTTTACGACTCTCGAGGAGGGCTTTCAACAGTTTGCTACTGACTTGAACAAGCTCCAGCAGTTTGTTGAAATTAACGGCACTGCATTCTCCAAGATTCTCAAGAAGTGGGACAAGACGTCCAAGTCCAAAACCAAGGAGCTTTATCTGTCCAGGGCCGTCGAAGTCCAGCCATTTTTCAACGCCACCGTTATAAGTGAACTTTCGGACCAGGCCACGACTAGTCTTCAGGAGCTGGGCGCCTGGTCCGATGGCATACAGGTCAACTTTCAGACTCCAGGCCATGTCGTCACGAGCCAACACTTTATGGGGACTGATGAAGGAGATGCCGACACACTATTGCTGGACACAGTCATTACTGGGAACCTAGAGACGCTTAGAGAACTCTTGACGAAAATGCAGTCCGCGAGCAGCTCAACAGACGGAGGAAGCTCATTACCTGATCGTGTCACCAGGACCTTCCTGACGGCAATCCATGATGCTCCCGAAGAGTCCCTGCGTGTTCTTTTAGATACTGGGCTCGTCGACTTGCAGTCATATGACGATATAAACGAGAGAAATTGTCTTCACCAGGCCACCATATACGGCAAGCAGTATGTGTTGGAATGGGGGCTACAAGCGGGGGTCTCTGTCGATAGGACAGATGTATATGGACGAGTGCCGTTGCACTACGCCAGTCTACATGGCCGTCTGGATATGCTCGAGGCTCTATTAAATGGTATGAAGGCCCAGAAGCTGATGACGTGATGCTTTATACTGATTCGACCTCGGAAGTTAATTCCTCAACGATTAATCTCATTGACCACGACAACTTCACTCCGCTTATCCACTCCATCATTCATGGTCATATTGATTGTATACAGCGTTTGCTCGCTAGATCAGCAAGGATCGACCCGGTGTCAGACGCAGACCATGTTCCGTTGAATTTGGCTTGTGAGCATGGCTCCGAGGCAGTTGTCGAGCTGCTCCTAAGGCACGGAGCGAAGATTTTGCCCGACGCAGAAGGCTTATATCCCCAGCATCTGGTGGCGAGGTCGGGGAAGACATCGGAGTTGCTGCTCCTGCTCAAACAATTTGGAGCCGATTTGGACCAAGTTGACAAGCTGTATGGGTGGACTCCGCTTGTCCATGCGGCGAGCGAAGGCAACGTTGACTGCCTGCAGGCGCTGCTCAAGGTTGGAGTTGACGTGAATATTGTGGATGAGAAAGGTCTCCCGGCCATGTACTACGCCGCGTGGGAAGGCCATCTTGAATGCATGAAACTACTTACCCCATTCAACACTCACAGTCGCGCCAGCCCGCTCGTCTTACAGTCGTCACCTGGCCCTACTGACGGCAGCAACGCCCCCGGTCCCATGTCCTTGGATCCCGACGCAATCCCCATACTCGAGCTGCCCCCTCCAATTATTCCCCTCCGCCGCTACGGTCATAACTTCCTCGACACTAAAACCGTCGTACAAATCAGCTTCGATGACCTTCACGAGCAGCCTTTGATATTCTTTCAAGATGGAAAATATCCGGCGGCGCGACTGACAATCTCCTCCAAGCTATCAGATCTCATCCCAAAGAACATTATTCTCCCCTTTCAAGAAGATACCCGCATGGTTTCATTCCAAGTTGACAACCTCGATACATTTTCTCTCGATTTTGATGTTTTCCCTACGTATGGTGCCAAGATTATCGCCAAGACTGTGGTATTACCTAGCGCTTTCAAGACGCAGCAAGGCGGAATTTCCAAGTGCTGCCTACCTCTGTTTGATCCACGACTCAGGGCAATTGGCCAGATTACTTTTAGCACCCAGGTGATCAAGCCGTTCAAGGGTCAGCCATTGGAAATCACGGACTTTGAGACATACTGGAAAGCCACGAGCCAGTTTAACCAACCCACTAGTGCTGTGGTAACTGGATCAAGTTTATCCGGTGACTACGTCCGGCTGTTTGTGCAATATACGGCCGACGGGGTCCCAGTGATTTGGCCTCAACGGACGATCAGCTGTGGAGGACTAGATCTGCCACTGTGTCGACTGTCCCTACAGCAGTTCCTGACGATTACCGCTGAAAACACCTGTCGAGCTGCGTTGCCTAGCTTGTCTTCCAAGACTATTGATAACATTGCAGAGGTATATCACATCCTTGCTACAGCAGGCATCACCCTCAAGGATGCTCTGGCCATTCTCCCTCGTGGCATCAACGTGAACCTACAGGTCCTATACCCGACGCAGGAGGAAGAAAAGGCGCTTGCGCTCGGTCCTGCGTTGGACGTCAACGTCTTTGTTGATGCTATTCTTACTGTCGTGTTTGATCATGCTCGCGCGCAGAGAGCCCAATACCAGTCTCCAGAGGCAGCCCGCTCCATGGTCTTTAGCAGTTACAATGCTCGGTTGTGCACAGCCTTGAACTGGAAGCAGCCGAACTTTCCTGTGTTCTTGTGCAACGATCTCGGCCGCGAGGACAATATCTTGGAGGAGAATATGCTTCGACCGAGCGGAAGACGAGGTACATCCATCAAAGAAGTGGTTCGAATTGCCCAGAGCAATAACTTCATGGGATTGATTTGCTATTCTAAATTACTGGTAAGCGTATACCTGCCACCCGGAGTGTGGAATTGTTTTGCTGATTTGGAACATCAGGACATGGTGCCTGCCCTTGTGGACGCTATAAAATCTCATGGATTAGCACTCGTCATGGACAAGTCGACAGATTCCCCCGGAACAAGTCCAATGACGGACCCGTTTCCCCGACCACCCAAAGGTGTAGATGGTGTTTTGAAAAATCACGGCATTTTGCGATTCAATGACTCGATAGACATGTAGAGAGAATCATGAGGAGTATGCAAGCTATGGCTAGGCGGGAGGCGTTCTAATTAGAGAAATATTTTTTTTAAGAAGAGGAGGGCTGGTTGTATTGCATACTTTGCATGATTATGGCATGATGTATGTGCAGGTAGAAATCAAAGAGCCGTTGCGTTGCATCCAATCTTGGACTCATCCACAGGAGTGTAGTGAATCAGGAACTGCGAGGAAGGGTTGTCATGATGTCATTTATTCATTTCTTCGCTTATTCATTATAAAATCAAGCCAGGGCAGGTCTCAAGCGCCTTTAAACCCATACTTCAAACCACCCAACTCCCTCTCAGGGTCGACGCTCCCCATGACAACCTTTGCCAGCAAAACAATTCCGTACACAATGGCCGGTAGATTCCCCATGCCGATCCACGCAAAGCTCCCCTCCCCTCTGCCCAGCACCAAGCCCAGCACCACCAGCACGCCGGCCAGCACGCAGTTCAGGTACGGCAAGTACATCTCCAGCGGGCTCTTGTCGGGCCCGGCGCCCCTCCTCAGCCGACGGATCGTCTCGCTCCCGGCGGGAACGTCGCCCCCTTGGATCCATGCGTCCAGCGGTGCGATGCCCGTCTCTGGCGGCGGGAGCTTGTACAGGACGTAGGCCGTGGAGAGGAGGGAGGTGAGCGACAGGATGGCGATGACGGGGTTTGGCGGCGCGCGGAAGAGGAGTGGCATGTAGGGGATTGTCGAGAGCGCGGGCAAGGCGAGCAGGACGGCGGCGAAGGAGGTGTTTGTCTGGTGGTTCTGCGCGGCGAGGTCTGCGATGAGGGTTTCCTGCTCTGATGGTGGCGGCGCGTTAGCTGCGGTCTCTGCGGATGGTAGGGCTGGGGCGGAGAGGGGAGGACCTTGTTCGTCGAGGGCGGACGGCGTGTCCGAGTCGTCGGGGTAGCGGAATGTGCGGCGGAGGCGCGCGCGGGAGGACCTTGTTTCCATTTTGTGCTGGGGGTTGCGGTTGTGAGTTGATGGATGGAGAAGGTTTAGGTTGGACAGCTTGTGTGGAGGCAGAGCTGTGTTTGCGAAAATGACGTCTTGGGGTCGCGGTCGACTTTTTTTGCCCCACTCTTGGACTGTGAAGCTTGGGCTGGGCCCGGTAGCCTACGGCCCGCTCGTCTACTCGCTGCTTGAGCTTTATATCTATTGGCTTGTTGGACGGAGAACACGGCGCGGCAGTGGCGTGCCTTTTACGATTGACGTCTGCTAGTAAGAACATGGAGACGATAATTGGGGAGGCACCGAGGACAAACCGACTTCGTTCGGGCTCTAGGCGCAACTGGCAAATGACGACGGCCACGTCCGTAAAGATGTGGTTCTAGGAGGCTTGCTCCGTACATGCAATAGGGAGCTGATTCTATTCTCGTGACGCTTGGCAGCAAGTAAGCCGCGTCTCTCCGTCGCCGTGAAAAATAATCACACCAGTAGTAAACTAAGTATATCAAGGGCGAAGGACGATGTTTGAATGAGTTTCGAGGTCCAGCCTCAGCAGTCATCCAGCATGCTCCCCAAGGCCTCCTTCTCGCTTTCAGAAATGGTTAGATTGTAATAGCCCTTGACCTCGACCCAAGACTCGGCGTAGGTGCAGAAGAAGCTCGTCAGAGGAGGCTTCCACCCGTCCGGGCCCTTGTCTCCCTTTTGCCGATTGGCATGAGCAGAGACGGCCCAAAGCTGCGGGCGAGCCAAGTCGTTGGCAAAGGCCTCTCGCTGCTCGTCGGTCCACTCGGATGCTCCAGACTGTAACCGACACGTTAGCCAGGCAAAGATGCGAACAATACCGGCGGGGAAAGGGCCTTGGTTTTTCCTCACCATCCACGCATTCTTCAGTGGCACAAAGTGGTCAATGTCAAGCTTGTGGGCTTCAGTGAAGACTAGGCCGTCGTATGGACTGGTCCATATGCCTGACTGAGGGACACAGTTGCGATTCGTCTCGACACCCTCGCCGTCCCGGATTAGTACCACGTCTCTTTTGCCCGTGGTTAGCAAGAAGAGCCCCCTTCAAGTGGAATAACTGTGTAATTGGGTTTCAACATGCCGAGTATTGCATTTTCCGTGTATGATGTCCCAGCTGTGAAAGAGAGATCGGTTGTATGTGCCGTCATCCACGGGAGGTGCTACTTGAAGGCTAGCCAGTGTCGTCCTGGCACTGGATGCACTCGGGATGCCAGGCTGACGGGAGTTAATGGTCGATACAGCCACACCTCTTTTTCCCCTTCCACTTTTTGGGCTAAAAGTTCAACCTACTGGAGTCGGTTCAGGGATCGGAACCGCGAGGACCACGACGGCGGTGGATAAAATGCTGAGAGTGACGATCTTCATGTGGAACAACGTAGCGAGTTGCAGGAGATGGCGAGGAGACGGATAAACAAAGGAAACAAGAAACACTCAGGATGCAAGACTAGCCATGTTTATTATAACATATTCGATTTTGTTCCGCGGCTGTACATATGCCCGACTGAATAAGCCAGCTCGCTTCTGTGTCGGGCAGACTCCGAACTCCTCTTGCTCGAACCTGACTCTATGAGGTGCAACTGCTTAGGTGCCAGGTCGGTTTGTATTGTCCCTCGTGACCAATATCAATGAAGATGGCGTGTCGGACAAGTGATTAGTATGCGTGAACTGCATGTTCCTCCGGCATTTACTATCCGTGAGTTGACAGCCATGAGAAAGAAGTATCGCCGACCACGACAATTTCTTTGCCCGTGCAACCTGCCTATTCGGGTATTCGCATGGCTGAGAGATCGCACCATCCAGATATCTGACCACGTGTATTGTCCGACTTGGGGTAATGGGAGGGGTTTCTTTTTCGAATGACTAACAGAGAGACCCCGATACGACCTTTGTTCTACTCCTTCTACATTTGTATCATGAGCGGCGTAGACGAACAATGCCCTTGCTGTCTAGTCAACCCAAAATTCGTACTGTTCCATTTTCGTCCGTTCGTCGGAGTATGAACCATGGTTAACTAGTGTTCCACGGACTGGTTCTGTGAGGAGTGAAGGACGCGCGGTTGTTGGATGAGGTCGTGATATGACTTGTAGTGCACTGTAGATGACATATATGTCCGCCTGTGGCTGTCCATAGATACCATAGCGAAGATGAAGCACTTCGCACCGGTTGGACCGTAGGAAAAGCTGCATATGTTCTAAATCGCCCCGTGTTGATAATCTCATACCCGGAAGGTCCCTCAACCTTGACAGCCGATTCAACGGCCAGCCTCCTCTCCTTCTGTCATCTCATCGACCCATGCATTCTCTCCCCCCTTCTCGCTCCGGGGATCCGGGTGGGAAGGCCGACAGCCTTACGAACATGTCCGGTATGGTGCCACGGAAGCACACTGATCGAGACGACGGCTGAGAAATACCACTCCCGTCTTGAATATAGCAGTCCCCGTTATCCATTGCATCACTCACAGCCCTTGTAAATTCGAGCACTTGGGTCCCTCTTTAGGCATTGATATTTGATCGGCAACAATGAGAACATTGTTCCAGTTGCTGGTAAACTCTTCTCACTCGGGCCCAAGACGGGTGAGACAAAATGTTCAGGCATCCTGAACTCCCCTCTCTACATACTCGCATAGTGTCGCAGTTTGTCTGAGCTTGAATGCAAAATATTGCACACTATTACAGTCTTTGAGTGTTGTAACAACAAGGGCGTCTTCGAACGAGCCGTATGCTTGAAGAAAACTCGGCCGGTGGCGATGCTTTAAGTATTCGATGACCTTGTGTAAGATATAGTGTTTATTCAGCCTCAGAAAGCTGTTGCATGATTTCGCCGTGGATACTTTCACCGACGGTCAGCAAGGCATATCTAGAGGCCACGGTCTGGCTTTCCTGCCACATTAAAAATACATACTGCGACGAGTCTTATCGTTTGCAGTGTAGAAAGGCCGATATTTGTTTCTGCGTGATAAAGGGCCACACCTCATGCGTTTGAGCTGCTTGAGCGGTTCGTCTTTTGACTGGGCAGGCCTTTAGGCGAAGTGAGCTCGGGTACCGCTTTCAGGCTGGCGTGGTTGAGCGATGATCTGAGATACTTGGCGGCCATGCGGGCGATTAGATCGTGGGAGCTGGAATAGAAACGAGTTTATTGAGAGCAATAGTATGTGGCATTGCAACAGCAATTCGGAATGCTCGGCTGCCGCATCTCAAGTGACAGAGTGGGAGTGGACCTTGCACGACCAACATTGCTGCTTTCCACACAACTCTGAGCAGATTTATGAAGCTGTACCGAGTGTGATTGATGTAAATGCATTCCCAGAGATAAGAAGGTAGCCAGTCGGAGTATCCTCTGGCACGGGTTTCGACGACAATATGCCCTTCTGTAGGTACAAATTGTGCAGAGTGCGGTCAGTAGAAAATGGCCTCGGTAAAGTTTTGGAGAGGTCAAGTTGAATGGGCGTTTGGTGACGCTCTTGTGATGATGGTATTGAGTTTATGACGTACAAGTACGTGGACGTTGCCAGCCACGATTCCAGTTCCAGACTCTTCTGACCTTGTCGATGCTGCTGCTAAGTTTGGTGGCAGCTCAGTTGAAAATAGGGGAGGTTACGGTTCGTCCAGTCACAGCTGCTCCAACAGAGAAGGAACACCCCATCAGCCACCTGCCTGTCAGCTTGTCTGTCGGATGCACTCGTCCCCGCCTACTACTAGTACGTAGATATACTTGGTCGCAACCTGCACCACGCCCACCTGTTATCGTCTCTTCGAATTTGGTGCAATACAGGAATCAAGTTAAAGAACTGTGGCGGTTCAAACACACAACTACGTCACGGGAACGGCAAATGATCGGTCGATACTTGAAATATCGACGTCTGCCCAAGGCCAGCCCCGCGGCAAGCTCGCCTAAACACCACCTCTTGAGACACCATCAGGCCATCCTACCAACCGGCCACCCGCCCATCTGGATCCCAATCCCAACCACTTCTTAATGCCACATCTCCCCAGGTCTAGTCCTTGGTTTTTCGGGACGCCGTACTATCGAGCAGCTTTGCGTTTGCCACGAAAAGCGCTGCCGACTAGCACAATGTTCAACCCCGGCATCGCCTACATGCTTGTAAGTCACCACTCGTCTCCATCATCATCACTCCCTCCAAGAAGCCAGTTAGCTGACCACCACAAGGCTTGTGTCGTCCTCTTTGCCATCGCAGTGTAAAGATCCAAGGCCCCTCCCCCCCGGCCCATCCCCACGAAGCACCAGCTAATAATCACTATCCAGTGTCATCCACTACCACACCATTCACCTCTCCCTTCCCATATCGTCCGCCATCACCATCCTCAGTACCATCCTCCCCATCACTGCCTTCCTCAACGCCTACGTATACCCCAACCTCCTCCGCTCCTCGCACACTTTCACATCCGGCGATATCTTTACACGCCTCGCCCCCATCGTCCTTCAGGGCTTCCAGGCAATCATAACCGCCATCCTCGCCACCCTGCTCCTCGAAGGCGTCGTGCCGTCCCCCGCGCTCGAATTCCTCATCGACTACGAATGGGATAAGCTCTACCAAGCCAAGAATGCAGACTACATTGAGTTCATACAGGATACTTATAGCTGCTGCGGCTTGAATTCTGTAGATGACAGGGCCTACCCGTTTTCCGACGCACCGGGCGGTACGTGTGCCGAGATTCATGGTCGAACGAGAGCGTGCAGGGGTCCGTGGAAGTTGGCGTTGCAGGCCGCATCGGGTGTTGACTTTGGGGTTGTGGTTATAGTAGGATTGATGCAGGTGAGTTTTGTTCCCCTCAGATGACCCCAGGTGCGGCAACGAGAATTCCATCGCTGATGTGTCTAGATAATTGGCCTCTTAATCATGAGAGAACGAACAGCCTGGTGGACCGCCCTCCGAACAGAAGACTGGAAACCATTCAGCGAGACCGACGACGAAAGCTCCAGACGTCTAGCCACTGTCGCCGAAGAGTCTGAAGAATCTTCCGAACAAGGCGAGGCCACCCAGCGAGGATACGGCGCTATTGAGACACCCACTACTGGTCCCTCTGCTTCACATGAGGAGGCCCAACGCCCCAATAATGAATGATTACGACCCCTTCCTGTGACCAAAACATACATATAACGTAGTAGCGAAGGATTTTTTACTTTATTTCATTATTTTATTTTATTTTTATTTTTTTTTCAATTGGGCACGGAATAAGCATTCGCCTGGAGTTTGTTATCCATTTACTCATGTATTTGTAAAAATTGTCGCAATGAATGGCCAGCTTATTTACTTCTCCTTAATTCTAACGCTTCCTTACCAAGTATAGCCAATGCAGCCTCATACGCCTGCACTCTGTCCTCAGTCATTTCTTCTACTCTCGTTCTCTCCACCTTCTGTGTCCGTCTTATGGCTTGGTTCTTCGCAATTTTACCCCAGAACCAACCGCTTTCGTCATCGCCAATCAAAGTCCATGCACATCCAGACCGTCCTGCGCGAGCCGTTCGACCTACGCGGTGAACGTAGCCAGCTACACTGGCGGGTAAGTCGTAGTTGATGACATGGCCGAGCTTAGGGATGTCGATACCTCGGGCGACTAAGTCGGAGGCGATAATGAGACGCACCGGGGATGAGGGAGTTGTGAATGCGCGGAGTACCTTGCGACGAATGTGTGTGGGCGTGGTGGATGTCAGGGTGCTGATTTGACCGGTGAGTGAGGCGTCGAGGAGCGTGAGGAGCCGCGAGAGCCGGAGGGCAGATTCGTTGGACTTGGTAAAGATGAGGGAGATGGGGATTTGCGTCTTGGACGCCGGAGTTGTGCTTTCCTCGTCTGAAGTATCCGAGTCGGAGGTTGTATCCGAATCCGAATCTGAATCCGAATCCGAACTATCCGAGTCTGAAGAGGTGTCAGAGCTGTCGGAGGCATCCTCATCTGCCTTCAACGTGGACGAGGAGTCTCCATTTCCAAGATGGCTCGTCATGTGGGACTGCCTCAAGAGATCCAAAAGATACAGCGGCTTAAGATTTGCCTCATGAACCCGCACTGCAAACTCCCGCAAGCCCACAGGCAGAGTATGCTCCGCTACCTGCACGGCGCCGTCATTCTCCAGCACAATCAGCCGCGGTCTCCGCAGCGCCAACTGATTCAAGAGACTGAGGTCTCTGGTCAATGTCGCGCTGAGAATCACCTTGCGAACGCCTGAATATGCCATGTCGGGAAAGTCGCGAGCACTGAATTTGTTGACCCGAAACTTTTCCAGTACCAGGTCCAGCCAGCCCTGGAAACTTTGCGCGAGCAGCTTGTCCGCCTCGTCGACGACGAGCCAGCGGATGTAGTCGAGGCTGAAGCCGGGGGTCTGCTCAATGTGTTCTACTAGACGGCCGGGCGTGCAAATCAGGACATCTACCCTGGAAGAGAAGTCTACAACTTCACCTTTCCAAGGTCCGAGGCGGACATCGGTGTTGGGGGAATCCAAGTCGTGCGTATCGTCGACGTCGGCGGAAAAAGTATTTGCACGCTGCTGCCTTTGTTCTTCCTGTATTTTACTGTAGGCATCCGGGTCATAGCGCGACTCTCGTTCGATAATGGCCTCTTGTTCCGATTTGATAGACTGACTTCCAATGGCCACGCCGATTCGGACTCGCTTCCGGTCTTCCCCCTCGTAGGCCTTGGCACATACCTCAAAGACGTCCTGTGCCTGCTTGACGAGTTCTCGTGTGGGGAGGACCACAAGAGCCCGTAGCCTTGTGACCACGCCGTTGCTGATATCACGGACGATGGGCAGTGCGTAAGCGAGCGTTTTGCCAGATCCCGTGGCTGCTGACACTAGCAAATCTCCTGGTCGGTGTTTACTTGTTGGTAGAAGTAGAGGGATGGCCGCAGTCTGAACTGCAAAGGCCTCGTTGTAGCCCTTGTCTGCTAATATCCGCGATGGTCGTGGTAGGATGCCCAGGTCTGTGAATGGCGCCTTTGTGTCTTGCGCAACCCGTATGGGGTTGGACAGCCACAGGGGAAGTGTGTCGTATGTTGGCTTGGACTCGTCCTCTGGTACGGGAGCTGGCTGAGGTAGCGGCTCTAGACCGTGCAATTCTGCAGATTCCTCGTCGGACTCGTCGTGTTTCGTTTGTGCAACTTTGGTGGCCAGTTTTATGGACTTTACCTTGCGCTCTAAAACTGCCTTGTGCCGAGCCATATCCTTTTCGTCGTCTTTGTCTTCTTCTTCTGTTGCCCCCTTGGCTTGTTTCTTCTTCTTCTTCTTCTCCCGTTTGGGCTTCTTTTCCTTGGTTTGTTCCCCCACCTCGAGGGCAGCCGCCTCCGCCATCTCCACATCACTGTCTCTGTCTCTTGAGTCGGCTCCGTTTTCAACATTTTCAACATTTTCGAGGGGAGGAGCTTCTTCAGTAGTCTTGTTTTTGTCTTGCAGAAATTCAGGCTCCTCGACATTGTCTTGTATTTTCACGCTCGACATAGCAGTCGTGTGTTTCGGCTCGTCGTCGGAATCGTCAGAAGAATCGTTAGCCTGGGTTCGTTGCTTTCGCTTTCTGCGATTTTTCTTTTTTGCACTCGGTTTGGAATCAACCGCTGCAGTGCCGTCCCGAGGAGCAATAGCATCTTTGACTCTTTTGATCTTTTTGCTCTCCGACCCCTGCTGCTCCTCGGTTGCCGGTTCTCGTTTCCGCTTCGGCGTGGAACCGGCCTCCTCGTCGAAGTATTGTATTGTTTTTGGGGCAGACACGGACGGAGCAGAGGATTTCGTCACGGCCCTGGCTCCTGGCACGTAGCGCGTGTAGCTGAATTCCTCGACAAGCTTTGACGCTATCGCATCCGACTTGGGAGCTGGTGATGACTTTGGGGCTGAAGGCTCAGCGGGCGCTGTGACCTTTGCGCCTTTTGACGGAGGCACATACCTCGCGTACATTGTTCCAGATCCCCAATGCCCCAAGCCGGGAAGCAAATATGCGGTGGGATTGGATTTCTGCGAAACAAGCCCATGCTGCCATTTCCAAAAAATTGGGCGGGCCGTATTCTTATCGCAATTCTGCCAGTCCTCACCGCCAACCTATCGCCCAAAGCCCACCCTGCTACGGAGTACCCCTGCCTCCTAGGCGGGGAGCTCTCGACAGCTCCCGATGTCACGTCTCACCAAGAGGCCCGTCCAATTTCTAATAAGTGAAGAAGTGTCGACAGTACGGTATTGTGAGGGCCACGATCACATCCTCCCTCAGGACATCAAACAATCAGCGGGGCCATGTCGCAACACAATCAACCCTCTCTCATACCTGCTTCACAATCGCTCGCCAATTCGTCAAAATGACGCGCCGGCGGTACAACATCGCCATGGTCAGCGACTTCTTCTTCCCGCAACCAGGAGGCATCGAGTCTCACATCTACCAGCTCTCAAGCAAGCTCATAGACCGAGGACACAAGGTCATCATTATTACGCATTCTCACGACGACAGAAAGGGCGTTCGATATCTCACCAACGGGCTCAAGGTGTACCACGTGCCGTTTCTTGTAATTTATCGCCAGGCTACCTTCCCTACCGTCTTTTCCTTCTTCCCTATTCTTAGGTACATTTTCATCCGGGAGCGCATCGAAATTGTGCATGGACATGGCAGCCTGAGTTGCTTGTGCCACGAGGGCATTCTTCACGCAAGGACCATGGGCCTGAGGACGGTGTTTACGGACCATTCGCTGTTTGGCTTCGCGGATGCGGCGAGCATTCTCACCAATAAGCTGCTCAAGTTCATTCTCAGCGATGTTGATCACAGCATATGTGTGAGCCACACATGGTAAGAAGACACAGAACCAGTCCGCCGCGTCTCACCGTGTCTAACGCACTCCCAATAGCAAGGAAAACACCGTCCTGCGGGCCTCGCTGGATCCGTTAATGGTCTCCGTCATCCCCAACGCCGTCGTGGCAGAAAACTTCCGCCCAAGAGACTCCCCATCCTCTCCCGGCGCAGCCTTCGCGGCGGACCCTTCGCCCCAACGCCTTGGGCCAAACGACATGATCACCATTGTCGTCATCTCCCGTCTCTTCTACAACAAGGGCACAGATCTGCTGACAGCCGCCATCCCCCGCATCCTAGAAACCCACCCCAACACGCGCTTCATCATTGCGGGCTCCGGCCCCAAAGCCATTGACTTGGAGCAGATGATTGAGCAAAACGTGCTTCAGGACCGCGTCGAGATGCTCGGCCCCGTGCGCCATGAAGATGTCCGCGACGTCATGATCCGCGGCCATATCTATCTCCACCCTTCGCTCACCGAGGCCTTTGGCACCGTCATTGTCGAAGCCGCCAGCTGCGGACTGTACGTGGTCTGCACCCAAGTCGGCGGCATCCCTGAGGTGCTGCCTTCTCACATGACGACGTTTGCGAAGCCGGAGGAGGACGATCTCGTCGTGGCCACGTGTAAGGCCATCACCGCCGTGCGGGCAGGCAAGGTCCGCACAGAAAAGTTCCACGAGCAGGTGAAGAAGATGTACAGCTGGTCCAATGTGGCTATGCGCACCGAGAGGGTGTACGACGGCATCACGGGCACCATTAGCGAGGAGGAATTCTATGGCTTCGACACGGGCGGCTATAATGGCAGCAGGGTTCGCAACTTTGCGCTTATTGACAGGTTGAAGCGCTACTATGGGTGCGGCATCTGGGCGGGCAAGCTCTTTTGCTTGTGTGTCGTGATTGACTACCTGTTCTTTTTGTTCTTGGAGTGGTGGTTTCCGAGGGAGAATATAGACATTTGTCCCGACTGGCCGCGGAAGATGTTGGAGGATAACGGGAAGAAGGAAGGCCGGAGTAATCGGTCGAGTACGTCACAGGGCAGGGTTGGTCATGATTAAAGGGTGTCCTTTAATATGACGTTGTATGGGGTGTACATTATTCCCAGGCTGGTCAACCGGTTGTTGATTTTCGTCATGGAACATTATGGCAGCGATTCGGCGTTTAAGGGCGCGGCATATAATACCTGGGCAGATATCTTGTTGTTCATCATATCTTTTCATAATATCGTAACGCATGTCATACTCGTATCGTTTAAACCAAACCTCTTTCCAGTAGCTCAACCAGTCTATCTACACTCTTGCATCCCCATCACAAAACCACTCAAGCCAAACCTCGACTCATTCATGCAACTCATCTTGGCCAGCAACACCATCAACGCATATCACTCTCGGCAGCCCAAAGAGGCCTATACCCAACCAACGTCCACAATGCCCTCCACCACCCCAGATCCTCCGTCTCGTCAGCCCTCACCACATCCTCCCCAAACCCGGGCCAGACCGGCCTCGGCCCCAATCTCCAAGGCATCGGCGTCCCCGTCGCCGCCCGCAGTCGTCCCGGCTCACCACCACCACGGCCGCCGTCCTGTCCACCACGCGCACTCTCCCCCGACACGGAGCTCGTGTCCGTCGACGTCGTCGAACCGCTGTCCCTCCTCCTCCTGCCAAACAGCCAGCCCAGCCGCGAAGGCTGCTTCCGGCCCCTGCGCACCCTGCGGACCTTTTTCGTCCGCAGCGAGTCCGCGTACACCAGCACCGTGGCCACCAGCACACCCGGCACAGCAAGCACCCAGTACACAAAGAACAGGCCCCCGCCGGCCGCGAACCGGCCCGCCATGGAAAACATGCCCGCCACGATGGAAAACGGCAGCAGGATCCCCCCCATGTACGAGAGCCGGTCCAGCGCCCTCCGGTCCTCGCGCACCTCCCGCGCCAGGGCGTCCACCCTGGAGGCCGACGGCGGCGAGGGCAGCTTCCGCTCCAGCCGCTGCAACTTGTCGTGGAACCCCGTCACCATCTGCAGAAACGCCGAGTCCCTCCTCTGCGGGAGCAGCCTGCCCAGGTCCCCCCAGGCGTTGGCCGCCTCGCCTGCCCCGCGCGTGTAGCGGCGGCAGTCGAGCGCGTTGTTCTCGATGCGCTGCGAGTGATCTCCAGCAGGTAGTTTGCCTGGTTGGGCCCCCTGTCGACCTGCACCGCGGCGAGGAGCAGATTCCACTGCTGCAGCGCCACGTCGGTCGCAACCTCGTACACGCTGGCCGCGCCGCCCTGCCCGAGGAACCTCTCCAGAAACGTCTGCGGGCGCCGGCGCTCCCTCCACCGCGCGTACAGGCTGGCCCGGGGCTCGGCGGCGACGGCGTGCTTGTGC